CTTTTTGGTTTTATTTATTCATATTTTAGGGTAAAAATAATCTCTGTTTGAAATAATTTCATATTATAAATTGGTTTTGTTTTTCTCGGACTGGCATCTTCATTATGGAGGTGTTATCTCTTCAGTAACTGTTGCGTTTCAAATTAAATAAAATTAGGGATGGAATGATACCAAAACTTGAACAACATTAGGCAGTTACAGTAAAAATTGCCTGATATCTACTGATACCAATGCCATCAAAATTAGTAGATATGTGCCCTCGTATTTCTGCACGTCTCTAGATATAATGTGCTGAAGTTGGTAGTTTTTTTTTTTTTTTTTTTGCTGGGTAAACTTTTGGGACTAAGGAAGATTAGTCTATGGTAAAGTTTTGAAATTTTTTATTGCTTTTTAAACTGGAAAAATTGTGAACATGTTCACAAATAGTTGTTGCTATGTGGTGTGCATTTGTAATCTATTCTAAACATTTGGATGGAGGCCTTGGCATGGTGCCAGAGTACATCTGATGGTTGCTGGGCACAACCTGCCCTGTAGTGTTCATCATGACATGGGCACAAATATTTAAATATTGAAATATTGTAAGGGTTTAGACATTTTTAGTGTTTGCTTTAATGTTGGTGTTTGTGAATGGTTATAGAAATAATGTTTTAGATATTCAGTGCAGTGATTATTTTGAGCAAACAGCTTTAACATTTGGTGCGACTAACATGCTGTACAAATGAAAATGTAATATAAACAGTGAAAATACAGTACAATGGAACATTTTATATTTAACTTTTTACTGGATGAGCCCTTAAGCCACTGGAAGGTCGGGTCAAATTACCATAACTCCATTGAGAAGTCATCCTAAAACTCGTGTCGGGAGAAAATTATTGTTTCTTTACACTCGTAATATCTTTCCCCACAGTAGTAACTTATAGAAGATGGTATGGATGGGGTTGACAGTAATTCTATAGTAAAAAAAAAAAATACTCTGCCCACTGGACATGTACAGAGCACACTACTCTAAGGACTAATATTTAAAGGTATTCTCAGATGCAGTTAGTGCCTGCATCATTAGTCATACTGATTTTATTTAACAGACTGATAAGAGGGTGCAGGTAGCTAGTAATGGTGATTGTTGGATGGATGAGATTGTGTTGCTGCAATTTCAACAAATGAGTTCTGTAACTAGCTGACCTTTGTCAGTTTTCTCAAACTGTACTCTGTACACTTTACAGATACATGTATACAGTATATTATACAATTAAGGCAGTTGACATATATAAATACTTATAGAAAGCCCTTTGTGCAAATCATTTCAGGCAGCTTTAAAACTAAATTATGATTATATATGAGAACAAGCATACCTAGTTTTTAAAGAATTTAGGTATGTATTCGTTAATTCAGTAAAGTATAATTAGTGATAAGGATGTAGCTAGGTACAAGTGATGAAGGAATGATAGACGAGGATAGGGACAAGTTTTAAGAATTGTTCAGCATAATTATTAGGATCACATTAGGGAAAGGAGATGTTTATTTTTTCTGTTCAGCATAATTCTGAAGTGATTAAGCGGATTTTGTCCCATATTTCTAAAGTCATTAAGTTTGCAACAGTGGAATTTCAATCTTGGTTTTTTATGAAGAACTTTGGTTTTGAATACTGTTTCTTGTTTAATATTTAATAGCAGGTGAAATATCATAGCTAGGAAATAAAAAATAATTTATTACCCTTATGGAATTGGTAAGCAATTTGAACTATTGAAAGTGCTTGAAGGTACTCTTGGAATATGTTCTGTAATGGAGATGTAATATTAAAGGAAAAAACACTTAAAGCCAGTACCAGTGCTGTAAAAGATGTGACCACAGCTTTAGAGAACACTTGGTGAAAGTTCATGGTGCTTCAGCCTTACATTGGTAAATGTAAGAAATGTTGTTGGAACAAAGATGTCTTGTAGGAACACTATAAACATTCGGGGGGTCCCAGACTATTCAACATTATACTAGAAGATATCGGAAACACAGCTGGAACAAGTATAGAAGTCTTCAAGAGGAAACTGGACAAGTATCTTCACTGGGTGCCAGATCAACCAGACTGTGATGGATGTGGGGCAGTGGGCCTCCAGCAGCAACAGCCTGGTTGACCAGGCAAGCCAGATGAGCCTGGCCCATGGCTGGGCTCTGAGAGTAGTGAAACTCTCGAAACTTCAAAGGTATATCAAAGGTAAAGGTAGGAAACTAGTTACAGCAGGAGTCACCTGATAAGCTAGGCTGAGAGCTATGCAGTCGTGCAGGTAACATAAGCCCTGGTTGTGAGAATAGGAAAGCTCTTTAAACCAGTTGTAGGTATGTCAGATACAATATAAAGTATATTTTGGCTCAAGGGTGGCAAGGGTACCATGAAGCATCAAAGCTGAGTGAAAATCTTCCATAAAGATTTAAAAAAAAAAAAAAAAAAAAGTGTTGCAAAAAACAAAAATGGGGCGGGTTTTTTTTTTTTAATTTGACATCTGTATATATTTAATTATTTTTCTTTGGCACTACATTCTTCTTATGCTGTTTCTTCACTCCTTTTTGTTAACACTTACTCCTTATCTTGGTTTGCATTTCAAGTCTATTTTTTTAGATGGTTTTTAATCATCAGGAATGGAATGCTTTTAGACAAGACTGAATGTTCTTTGACTTGTCTAATTTGCAGGTTGTCAGGACTAATTTAGTACTGGATACATGGTTGGTGGTAATGCACATTTAGAGATGTCTTTGTTGAAGTTAGAGTATGTATTTTATTGGGAGAAGTCAGTAATGTAACTGATAGAATTAAGAGAAGACTAAAAATGTCTTGTTGAGGCACGTGAAGATTATGGTTGCCATGTCCTTGGTGATTAATGTCGAGAGGGTCAAGGTCCAGGTGATAGTTTTGGATTGGATTAATGCTAGTGATGTGATGTGTCATGGTTTTCTAATAATTTTTAAGTTGCATTATACATGTACTTGGAGAATGTTCATGTGCACACAAATACCAGATATCGACTGGATATACAGTGCAGATAACTTCTGCACTGTATATCCAGTACTACATGTGCTTTGATTATTCATATACCTGAACTAATGCTGTAAAGTTATTACATTGAGCTCTCTAAGTGATCAGTCAAAATACTTAACGTGCTTGGTTGATTTGCACGTACTTATGGTAGCCTTTTGTTTCATAGAAGGTAGGCTTTGCATAAGTGGTTTTAGCTGTGCCAGAACATGACCCCTTTGACAGGTATGACAGGAGTTGGAGTAATAAAGCAAGCAGGGCACTTGTCAGGTTTTATATGTATTAGTGCTTATGTTGAGTGTCTTGAGATAAACAGTTGTGTGTTAGTATTGGTTATTTTTTGTTTCATTATTTGAGGAGATAGTGTACTTATCTTTGAGAGTCATGTTATCGCTTTTATCGAGGGACTGCCAGACAAAGGTTAGATTGTCAGTTAGTAGCTGCTGCATAAGGTACCCAACTGCTTCAGGAATTTGGTAATTGGATTGTGCTCCAAGTGAAGAAAAAATGGGTAAAATGTTGGAGAAGGAAAAAGAGGTGAAGACGATTTCCGAAATACTAGATTGGATGTTGAAGGATATTTTAAGCGATCCTCGGTTATCGGCTCTGAAAGAAGAGAAAAATTGGCCTTATGTGAAATATGGTATGGCTGAACAGTTATGTACTGTATGTTTGATATAAGTGTCAGCATTTTGCATACATGAATGTCTAAAGATGAACATACCCTACCTTTTACACCCACATTTTTGAATTATACAACAGACTTTTGCCTTCCACTTTCTAGATACAGTGGACCCCCGGTTTACGATATTATTTCATTCCAGAAGTATGTTCAGGTGCCAGTACTGAACGAATTTGTTCCCATAAGGAATATTGTGAAGTAGATTAGTCCATTTCAGACCCCCAAACATACACGTACAAATGCACTTACATAAATACTTACGTAATTGGTCGCATTGGGAGCTGATCGTAAAGCAGGGATCCACTGTATATTTATACAGCAACCAGCACCTTACTGACCAAAATTAAAAGTACTATACAGCAAATACTACTAAAGGTATTCTTAACTGTAGAAAGTGTTTAAAATCTTCAGTTATAACACTAGGTCACTAAGCAAACACAATGACACACACTGGCTGTATCCCACCGAGGCGGGGTGGCCCAAATGGAAAAAACGAAAGTTTCTCCTTTTACATTTAGTAATATATACAGGAGAAGGGGTTACTAGCCCCCTTGCTCCTGGCATTTTAGTCGCCTCCTACAACACGCATGGCTTACGGAGAAAGAATTCTGTTCCGCTTCCCCATGGAGGTAAGAGGAAATAAACAAGGACAAGAACTAGAAAGAAAACCCAGAGGGGCGTGTGTATATATGCTCATACATGTATGTGTAGTGTGACCTAAGTGTAAGTAGAAGTAGCAAGACATACCTGAAATCTTGCATGTTTATGAGACAGAAAAATGGACACCAGCAATCTTACTATTATGTAAAACAATTACAGGCTTTCGTTTTACACTTGCTTGGCAGGACGGTAGTACCTCCCTAGGTGGTTGCTGTCTACCAACCTACTACCTATTTGTTTACAAAAATTTAAATGGGCTCGGATCTTGTCTATAAACACCATAACGAAGAATGAACTTAAAGGCTCACACATGGATGTTTATCAACAATCTCTCCATTGATGTAGGAACATTCTATACGTTTTGAAAAACAAACCATGTCCACAATTAGACAACAGAATCAATGATACTCAAATGGCACAAAAAAGCAGGGAAAATTCCTAGGTCCTGTAGTAGACGACAAGCTGAAATCTAATGCCCATATCAAATGCATCAATAAGAGTCTCCAGGTTGGTAAGGATACTCCAAAAATGTGTATATTCCACAACCCACACTCTTAATACATCCATTCCATATTAAATGATTTTAGAAATCTTGTTATATGGTTAAGTGAATATAATCATTGGTAATCTATCCCACAGGTACTGTTGTTCTCATCAGCTTGTACCTGGTGTTTGGTTATGGTGCCCAGCTCATCTGTAATGTGATTGGCTTTATCTACCCAGCCTACTGCAGTATCAAAGTAAGTGGAACACTAATTTATTTCGTTAAACTTTGAAATTGTCAATATTGTGCTGTACTGTATATTCAACCTTTGTCTTTAAGGTTTATAAATTTAGTAAAGATCCAAAACCTGTACTATTGTGATATTTTTTTTTTTTTTTTATTAGAGGAGATGCATTGTAAGTTAAATATGTAGGAAGATATGATACTGTACCATATTCCTATAGCTAAAAGGTAAAAATGATTCTGGAGCTTAAATGGCTAGTCCTTCCTTATCCCTTTCAGGGTCCCCAGGCCCCCTCCCAGACTTGTTCTCAGGGTCGCCCAAATTTAAAAAAAAAAAAAAAATTCTTGTGAAAAGATAGAGAATCTTTTCCCGATCATAATAACACCAAAAGTATGAATTTGATGGGAAACTTACGGAATTATGCTCTCGCGAAGTTAGGGGTCTCGGCAATGTTTACGTATCGGCGATTTTTGCCCACTTTGAGCCCTATTTTTGGCCAATTCCATTGTACTAGCCGACAAAAATCATTACAGTGGACCCCCGCTTTACGATCAGCTCTCAATGCGACCAATTATGTAAGTGCATTTGTACGTGTGTGTTTGGGGGTCTGAAATGGACTAATCTAATTCACAATATTCCTTATGGGAACAAATTCGTTCAGTACTGGCACCTGAACATACTTCTGGAATGAAATAATATCGTAAACCGGGGGTCCACTGTATTTCACTAGAACTCCATTTTTTTTCTATCGAACGAGTACAAGAAAACACCCATTTACTGATTTCAACTATCCAATAAAGTGGTCAGAATTTAGCAATTTCGCCAATTTCACACATTTCAAAAGATGCCAATTTCCAAATAGGGCCCAGAATAAACAAGAAAGACATTCCTGGCACTAAAATAAGTTCCTCTGTTCATTAGTCACGTCCCCACGCCCCTCTTACATTCTTTTGCTTTCCACTTTGAATTTTTCTCACAAAAAATAGATGATTTACTGTTATGCAGACTACTGCATTAGTGTAGAAATGGTATAAATAATATCGGCGCACTTATGAAAGCATATTAGACTCGCCAGTTCACGTGTATTGGACGCTTAGCATGATTTGTTTACTTGTGAACTTTGGTAAAAATCGAACGTTTCTGCTACGTTGAGCTCAATTTCAAGGTACTTTTCATTGTAAAACCAGTCAAAATCATCTCAATTTCTGTAATATGTCTTCCATTCTATAAAATGAGACCAGGAAAACTAGAATACAACAATAAATACCATACGAAAATACAGTGCTAAGTTGCTGTTTTAATCCAAAAAGTCAGTTTTTTTTTTTCTCATTATGCACTGTGTGCTGTAGGATTTTTTTTATACTGCGCACACTGACCACATAGACCCATTCTTTCATATGTAGGCCTACCAGCTTTCTCACTAGATTTGAGGGCGCTAGAATTTAGACGTACTAGTACGTCAAAAACCCTGGTGCGTAAGCCATACTAGTACGTCAAAAACCCTGAAAGGGTTAAACTTCAGTTTCCTAGCAGTCTGAAAATAGGTGTAAAATTTGTTCAACAATTGGTGCTGACAGCCATATACAGTAAACAGTTTATCAGCAAGGGTAGGTAACTGAAGTTTGCCAGTGGCTGTTATGAACCTTGGCATTGCCTGCCCTTGCTTTAAAGAAACTTTTCAAATTGAATATTGTTGGATAGCCCTTTTTGATTATATTTTGATACATAATTTTAAAAATTCTACAGCTAAGCTCCATGGCAGTCAGGCCTCAAACATTTCATAATTTTGTCTGAACATTTTCTGGTACACAATTTATTATGCAAAGCCTTTAGGTAAACATCAATGTCTTGTTCTTTTTATGTACAGTAATAATAAATCTGTAGTGGAGGGAAGGTGGGGTAGGGGTCAGCCTAGGAATGGTTGGAGGGAGGAGGTAAAGGTTTTGTGTGCAAGGGGCTCTGACTTACAGCAAGCATGCGTGAGCGTATTTGATAGGAGTGAATGGAGATAAATGGTGTTTAATACTCGACGTGCTGTTGGAGTGTGAGCAAAGTAACATTTATGAAGGGATTCAGGGAAACAGGCAGGCCTGGACTCGAGTCCTGGAGATGGGAAGTACAGTGTCTGCACTCTGAAGGAGGGGTGTTAATGTTGCAGTTTTATAAACTGTAGTGTAAAGCACCCCTCTGGCAAGACAGTGATGCAGTGAATGATGAAAGTTTTTCTTTTTTGGGCCACCCTGCCTTGGTGGGACTCAGCTGATGTGTTAATAAAAAAAAAATAGTAAATGCATTTATTTTTGTAATAGCCCATCTGTATACATTTCTATACCAATTGGCTAATGTTACTATTATAGTTTTATTTGTACCGTATCCTAAATTTGAGAAATCTCTACTATGCCTAGTACCAGGTTTCAATTCTTGAGACCATAGTTTTTCTATACTGTATGCACACTGTGCAAATAGATAGCTTGTTAACCCTTTGACTGTTTCAGGCCCCTCTCTGAAACTGTCATTCTATGTCGCTCAATTTTTGAAAAAAAAAAAATTATTTTTTCTTATGAAATGATAGAGAATCTTTTCCCGATGGTAATGACACGAAAAGTTCGAAATTTGGTCGAAAACTCATGGAATTATGCTCCCGCGAAGTTAGTGGTCTCGGCGACATATGCGTATCGGCGATTTCGCCGACTTTGAGCCCTATTTTCAGCCAATTCCATTGTTCCAGTTGACCAAACTCATAGCTATTTCTTTAGAACTCATTTTATCTATCAGCTGAGTACAAGAAAGCTCCCATTTACTAATTTGGACTACCCAATATGGTGGTCAGAAATTGGCAATTTAGCCAATTTCACGCAAACTAAAAAAGATGTCAATTTCAAAATAGGGTCCAGAATAAACAAGGTAGACATTCGTGGCACTAAAATAACATATGCTCTGTTCATTAGTTTACATCTCTAGGCCCCTCTTATATTATTATTGCTTTCTATTTTGATTTTTTTTCATACAAAAAATACAAAATTTATGTTATGCAGACTAAATGCATTATTGTAAAAATGGTATAAATAATCCCAGTGCACTAGTAAAAGAATATTAGACCCCTCAGTTGACGTGTATTGGACGTGTGGTGTGTTTATTTACCCCTGAACTTTGGTAAAAATCAAAACTTTTCCCGCTATTTTGAGCTCAGTTTCAAAGGTTTTCAGTCAGAGTAATGAAAATCATCCCCTTTCTATAATATTTTTTCCCTTTTTATCACCAAAGGGACCATAAAAACCGAATCGACGAAAAAAAATACTTACAAAAATAACCTCAAAGTCGGCATTTTATAAAAAAACGATCATTTTTTTTTTTCCCATTGCGCAGTGGCTGCAGGATTTTTTTATGTTTTTCACTGACCACAAGACATTCTCTCACATGTGGGCCTACCGTTTCCCCGTTTGAATTATTGAGTATATTACGTCAGAAACACTGGCTCAAAGAGTATTTAACGTCGAAAACAGTAAAAGGGTTTTTAAATGCTATCAGTCGGTTGGAGTTTTTGACTTTTCTATCGGGGGTTTTAAACCCGCCGTGGTATGGTTAGCTTGTTAACCCTTAAATGGCCCAAAACGTGTGTATACTTTTTTTTAAACATCTGAAAGTAGTAAACAAAAATGCAGATCTTTTTTGTTTTACTTTTTGAAAACGTGGTAAAAAAAAACTTTTTCTAATTTTTTTTTGTTATATTTGAAAAATTAAAAAAAAAAGTAATGTACTTTTGTACACTATGAATTTGAATGTCGATCTGTTTGTACCTTTAAGGGTACGGTATCAGTAAAAAATTTAATTTGAAATGATTTGATGTTTTTTGCCCAAATTTGAAAAAATCTGTTTTACTATCCCTTGCAATATAAAAACTTTTTTATTGCCGGGTTTTCCCTCGGGGCTCTGGAACGACCAAGAGGAAAGATGACACCCGTTGGCTGACCTTTTGGGGTTGTGTTTGCTCTTTTCTTGTGTGTGGTTTTTCTCTGCCCTCCTGTTTCCCCGGGTTTCCCCTTTTTACTGGTAGCAAAGGGGGAAAATTTTAAAACCCGTTGTGCTGTTTTTTCTGTTTAAAGATTGTATACATATAATATTTTAATTTTTCAATCCCTTGAAGTAAATTTTTGTGTTTGAGTAGGGGAGATTTGTAGGTATTTTTAAAAATTTAGATATTTGGTACTTAACCCCCTAAAAAACCACAAAAATGTGAACAATTGTTCCCCTTTTCTCTTTACCCAGGGCCAAATATATCTTTTTTTTTGGGGGTTTTAAATGGTACAGTAAGTTTAAGCTGAAATTAAAACAAACAGAATATTAAAGTAAAACCCCGTGGCAGGAAAGTAAGATAAAGCTGTGAAAAATGTGCCATGTTTACATAGATCAAATGTAACATTGACATTGCTTTACTTGACAGAAGCGGGTGTACATAGTGTTAATTAAACCTTTAAATCTATTCTTTTGGGGTTACGATTAAAAGCTACATAAAACTAATTTAGCTAAATCATTTAAAAAACCCCAAAGTAAATTACCATGAAAAAAACTTACAGTTTTTTTTTCCCTAAAACAGCTTTCAGATTGATCCGAAAATCTAATGAAACGATTGAAAAAAACCATACCCCGGGGGGGGGAAAGAACCACGATAGAGAGAGATGATGGTGGGTTTTTATCCCTGCCCCGTGGTATGGTTAGCATTTCAAAAATTTTGGATGGGGGGATAACTTAGTGTTGTATGATGAAAATTAAACAGTTTGTAATTTGTTTCATATTATTAATGGGGAAAAAAGAACTGAAAATGAAATTAGAGCACAGGGGAGCATTGTGTTTGTCTTTCTATACTAAATATTTTACTTAAAGGGCCCGGGGGAAAACCCTCTTTTCTAGCCCGGAAAAGATCTGTAGCAGTAAAAGTACATTACGTAGTTTTTCCCAGTGTGGGAATTTGCAGTGTGATCTTTTACTTTACTGGATTTACGTTAATTTTCTTATTAGCGTTTGTTTTTTTAAAAAATTGTGTTTCGAAAATTTTGTAGAGAAAAATTTTATGGCTGTATTTTTTTTTTTTCGTGTGTGTTCCTTTTTTATGGTGCTTCCCCCTGTGGGATGGAATGGTTTACCCGATTACATCGTGTGATTCGGCCATTTTCATCAAGAGGCGGGAGATTGATAGTGCCATGTCCAAAGGGTTTATGACAAGATAAAAGAGCTGGCAGGCAATGCCCCAGGTTGCAGTGAGCAGTGAAGCATATTAGGTTGGTGTTTAATTATTTCCAGAGGTTGGACGTTAGTGATCCCCTTGTAAAATTAAATTTACGCATTAAAGAGTTATTTCTAAAGGGTTTTGTATGGCACAACACTGCTTTACCAGCAAGGATTGTCGGCACTTTAAAGCCCTTTTGGGGGAAAATTATGAAGTGTGTGTGTGTGTGTGTGCGCGGCGCCCCCTGTGTGTTGTGTGCATCACCTGTGTGTTTTGTGCGCACCCGTGTGGTGCGCGCGCGCGCCTGTGCGTGCCGTGTGTGCGCGTGCCTGTACTCGCCCAGTTACTACCCAGTTAGGGTTTCGGGGGGCGAGTCAGAGCTCTGGCCCGCCTCTTCATGATCGTCTAGGTCACTCTCCCGAACCGTGGCTTTTCATACCTTGCTTTTTAAAACTATGTTGGGGTCCTGCCCCCACTACATCGCTTCCCAAACTTTCATTTGACTACTCTGTGGCTGGAAATACTTCCTAAATTTCCCCGTGATTCTCTGTGTCTTCAACTTCCAAAAGTGTCCCCCTTTTTCTGTGGCCAAACTCGGAACATCTGTCTTTTCCACCTTTTCAATTCCTAGTATTTTGTATGTCTTTATCTTTTCCCCTATCTTCCCCCTTCCCGTGCGTCAGGTTTTTTTCCCCTTTAACCCCCTCCCCGTA